TAGGTTCAAACTGACACCCCTTCAGCTAGTACAAAGTATCTTTAAACAAAAACATACATAAAAACAAAGTATGTACTGCTTCACTGATGAAAATGTGGCCAGAGGCTTGCAGGAACCTTATCTGTAATTCCCCTAAGAACAATGGTTCAGTATTTGCTAATTCAGTGTTTGTGGCAACTTTATACAACTATCGTGAATAATGAGCTTCAACAAATAATTTAGAAGATTCAAAAGGAGAAATATATCCATTGTATTTAATCATATTTTTGTTTCCTGTTCTTTTTCTTTCTTTCTGATGTTCCAAGATTCTTTCTTTTATTATTTCTGTTGTTAGATAACTTTCTTTAGTCATTCTTTATTTAAAAGAATTTAAAAGGCCAGTTATTGACAAATTCTTAGTTTTCCTTTATGTGATAATATCTTGACTTCTCTTTCATTACTAAAAGATACTTTCCTGCATATAGGATTCTGTGTTGACAGTTCTTTTCTTTCAGCGCTTGAAAAATGTTGAAAAGTTTCCTTATTTCCATGGTTCTTGCTAAAAAAATCTGTTGTCCTTCAAACTGTTTTTCCCCTAAACGTAAGGTCTGTTGTTCCTTGTTCTTTGAAAATCCTTTGTCTTTGTCTTTAGCTTTCAGAGGCTTGATTATGGTATGTTGTGGTGTGGATTTCCTTGGGTTTATCTTTTTTGTGTTCACTCAGTTTCTTTAATATTTTGCCAAATTTGGGGTGTTTTCAGTCATTACTTTTTTGAGTATTCTATTAGAATCAAAGTACTCTTCTTTCTCCTTTCCTTCTGAAACTCTGATGACACAAATGTTATAACTTTTGTTTTAGTCTAGCAGGCGCGTGAGGTGCTGTTCATTCCTGCCTTCCCTCAATCTATTTCCTCTCTGTCTTTCAGACTGGGTAGTTTCTATTGTTGTATCACTCAGTTCACTAATTTTCTGTTGTTTCCATTCTGCTATTGAGTTCATCCACTAAATTTTTCAATTTCAAGTTATTATTTTTCTTAGTTCTAAAATTCTCATTTGGTTCTTCTCTTTTATCTTTGTGTATTTGCTTGTTGTTGTTGTTAAGTGCCGTCGAGTCGTTTCCAACTCATAGCGACCCTATGCACAGCAGAACAAAACACTGCCCGATTCTGCGCCAGCCCCACAATCCATGCTATACTCGAGCCCATCATTGCAGCCACCGTATCAATCCATCTCATTGAAGGCCTCCCCCTCTTTTGTCAACCCTCCACCCTACCAAGCATGACATCCTTCTCCAGGGAATGGTCCCTCCTGACAACATGACCAAAATAGGTGAGACGAAATCTGGCCATTCTTGCTTCCAAGGAGCATTCTGGCTGCACTTCCTCCAGGACAGATCTGTTAGTTCTTTTAGCAGTCCATGGTATTTTCAGCATTCTTCTCCAGCACCACAACTCAAAAGCATCAACTCTTCTTTGGTCTTCCTTATTCATTGTCCAGCTCTCACATGCATACAAGGCGACTGGAAATATCATGGCTTGTGTCAGGCGCACCCTAGTCCTCAAGGAGATATCCTTGCTCCTCAGCACTTGAAACAGTTCCTTCGCAGTTGACTTTCCCAATGCTACACGTCGTCTAATGTCCTGACTGCTGCTTTCATTGGCATCGATTGTAGAACCAAGCAATGTGAATTCCTTGACAACCTCATTCTCTCCATTTATTGCAATGCTTATTTGCTTAGTCTATGTATTTGCTTAGTCTATTTTTTTCCATTGCTTTCAAGAATGCCCATAATTGCTCAGTGAAGAATTTTTATGACTGCTGCTTTAAAATCGCTCAGATAATTCTTAACATCTCTGTCATTTCACTGTCAGCATCTACTAATTATCTTTTTTTCATTCAGTTTAAAATCTTCCTGGTTCTAGGTATGATGAGTCATTTTCTATAGAAACCTGGGCATTTGGGAGACTGTAAGACTCCAGATATTATTTAAACTTCCATTTTAGTTGGTGTCCTCTAATATCACTCCAAAATGGGAAAGGCAGGGTGCTATTTCACTACTGCAAGGCAGATATACAAGACCAATTTTTCACTTGGCTTCTGGTGACATCTGATATGGGAGCCTCCTCATTAATTCTGGGTGGGTATGAGTGAACCTTGTTACAGACTGGCAATAGTGGAAGTCTGGGCCACTTACTTGGCCTTTGCTGGTGAAGGTAGGGGCATGTCACAGTTTTGTCTCTGGTATTTAGTTATCATACAGTAGACTTTTTATAAAAGCTGTCTTGTGAAGTTGCCCCCTTCCTGATCCTTAGGCTAGAGTGAGCTTTTCTTGAGGCATTTTTGTGCTTGTTGACCTGAGTTGCCAGGTTCTCCAACACCACATCTGGGATGTATGAGGCAAAAGGGAAATCCAGGGCACTCACGCAGTGTCACTCCTCAGGTACTAAGGTTACTAGCCAGTCTTCTTTTTCTTCTCCACTTACTAGAGTCATCTTATGCTTGTTTTATATGTATTGTTCTGGGTTTAGCTGTACTTAGCAGGATGAATAGAGAAAATTATGTCTACTTCACCTTTTCAGAAGCAGAAGTCTCTTGATTATTACTATTTTTTATATTCAATCAGTTCCTAAGTCATGTTAAGAGAGCAAGCTCTTCATTTCACCCTTTTCTGTAGCACTGAACAATTCTTCACAGTCTCAAAATACTTTATCACTAAACATTTTCATGTTTTCTGTAATATCTACTGGAATATTACATTATGTAATGCTGGTCTGTAAATGCTTTAAAATTGAAATCATGTCCAATTATTTCTTAAAATTCTTAGCTTTTGAGAAGAAATTAATTTACACTGTTTAGTAAATTTCAAGGCACCCTGGTGGCATAGTGGTTAAAGCATTCGCTTTCTAACCAAAAGGTCAGTGGCTTGAACCCCGCAACCAATGTCCAGGAAAAAGATGAGTCAATCTGCTTCTGTAAAGATTTATAGCCCTGGAATCTGTATGGGGAAGTTCTACTCTGTCTTACAGGGTTGCTATGAGTTGGAACAGACTTGATGGCAGTGGGTTTGCTTTGGGTGAAGTAGTATGTTGTTCTCTCATAAGCATAAGAAATTTCTGCTAGGTCGAATTTTATCATTATTTTATTAACCATAGATATAAAACTTTTAAAATAAGTGCTTGCCAAAGCATTAATGAAATAGTCTGATATTTTATTCCTATGTTCAGCCCAAAGGAAACAGTGATTTGCTACTTAAAAATGAACACCTATTGGTACTTGTAAAGAAAAATTAACATAAAGGCATTAAAAGTAGCCCTACTGGTTCCAAAACTAAAAATCTAGAATTGCTCTAAAATAGCTGATCCTTGTCATCTGACTTCCTACTATGGCTCTTCATTAAAATATATATACAATTTTTATTTTATGAGCCTCAAAAACAATAACAAAATAAAAAAATCAAGAAGGTTATGTTTCAGATGTCTTGAAGCCCTCCCCAACAAAATGTCACCACTTAATATTTCAAATACAATATAAATTTTAACAAAGGGACAGAAAAGATTTCTTTTTGGGTTTTTGGTGTAACCTTAACTGTTAACTCCTGTACATTATCAAGTTTTAATTATTGCCAACAACAGATAAAGCATTAGTTAGTGCCTATACAAAATGCATTAACAACTAACACAGAGCACCTCATCAAGTAACCACCAGTTGCCCTTGAGTTGATTTTGATTCATGGTGATCCCATGTGTGTCAGATCAGAACTCTGTGTTCCACAGCGTTCTGAATGGCAGATTTTTGAGAAGTAGGTAACAAGGTCTTTCTTCTGAGGTGCCTCTGGGTAGACTCAATTCTCCACTGTCTCAGTTAATAGACAAGTGTGGTAACCATTTGCACCACCAACCGATGTCATCAATTACAGATAAGTATAACAACTGATGTAAGAATTACTCATTGAAATTACCAATGCCAGAGAATTACTGAAGCCAACTTCTGAATTCAGGAGGTATTTAGAAGAGCTCCAAGTATCATTCTTAGTAAGAACCATTGACTGTTTAAGCATAATGCTAGCTGTTACCAAAGACTCCACTGTCTGCCATCCTTACAACGACGGAATTCTTCAATAGTCTTCTACTGAACCTCTTTCTACGTCTAAGGAACTCTTGTGATGTAGCAGGTAAGGTAGCATTTGGCTGTTAACCAGAAGGTCAGTGGTCCAAACCCACTAGTTGTTCTACCGGAAGATGACGAGGCAATCTACTTCCATAAAGATTTATAAATTTGGAAACCTAATGGAGGTCACTATGACTCAGAATCGACTTGATGGCAGTGGGTTTTTGCTTTGGTTTCTCCATCTGCTCTTAGATCCTTACTCAGAAGGTGGAAACTTTATCACTTCGGGCAAACTACTTATATTCTCAGCCTCATTTCTTATTTTCATAGAGCTGCGTATGGTAAATTTTCCTTAGTGATCTAAAGAGGATTACCCGTCTAACTACCTATCCATAGTATATAACCAACATATCCAAACACATATAGCATAAAAGAACACAGATGTACAGAAAACTTCTGGTAGTTCAGGTTGAGTAATAGAAATAATTAGATAATGCAAATTTCATCTATTAAAGAAAGAATTTCCATGCTTTGTGTAATGTTATATAGTAATAATACTTTTCCTATTTAAACAGAAGTAAATAGAAATAGCCACAAATGTTTGATATCTTGAAATATTTCTAAATATCACTAGTGCTGTTTTTCTCTTCTTATGCAACAACAAAAAAGATTTTAGAGAAAATGTATACAAATATGTGTCAATGCACTGGAGAAGAGAATATAATTTTAGAGTCTCATATAAGATGAATGTTATTAAGGCATTTCAAAACAAAGAAATTTATGTATCTTCTTCTACTTGATGGTAATCAAAGACATGAGTTTATGGAGGAAATACCAATAAATAAATGTGAAGATACATAAAACATTTCCACAAAGTAAAAAGATGATAAATATTTAAAATGGACTCTTACTTACTTCTTCTACATTGGAAGCAGTCTTAGCAGAAGTTTCCATGAAGATAAGTCCATGTTCTCGAGCGAACGCTTCACCTTCCTCTTTTTTTACTTCTCTTCTAGATTCTAAATCACTAAATATGGGAAAGAAAGGGTCATTTTATTATCAAACATGATAGAAGCATTTGTGAAAAATGCACCACAGGATTCAAAGTTGTACTAATCATTCTTTCAATAAATTTTTTTAAACAAGTTTTATTGTTAAAAATTTATGTAATATTTGCTATTTCAACCATTTTTATGTGTATAATTTAGTGACATTAATTATGTTCACCATCACCACTTGCATTTCTAAACTCTCAATTTTTAACATATAATAATTAACTGCATTATTCTGGATATTACGGAGCTTGAAGTATTTGGAGCATAGGACTTATTGTCAATAAATTAACAATCCAGCAGAACAAAGATTCTAAGTCCCAGTCCTAGAACACTAGAATTAAGAAAAACTTGAAATCCTACTCCAACATCCCCTTATTGCCTTTGAGCATACTGGGTTTTTAGAGAAGTGTATCACTTTGCTCAAAATAACAATTTATAAGTGAGAGAGCAAGACTAGGCTAGTCTCATACTTCAGGCAGAATGACCAAGTTTCTGAGAATATGATTAAAGAGTAAGCCACAGAATTTGATTAAAAAATAAGCTCTCAGATGTTTAGGTTGGGACTTTGGGCAGAACACAGGGGGCACTGGGGCTGTGACCATCAGAGCAGGCATCACTGGGCACCCATGGGGAAGAATGGGCTCAGTCAGAAACTGGCCAAGGTGGAGTAGTGGCAGGAAAAGGGGTGGGTGGCTCTACTAGCCAGGAGAGGCAATAAAACAAAAAACCAAACCCACAGCCATCAAGTCAATTCCGACTCCTAGCAATCCCCACTGGGTTTCCAAGGCAGTAAATCTTTATGAAGTAGATTGCCCCATCCTCCTTTCAGCAGAGCAGCTGGAGGTTTTGAACTGCCAAACTTCTGGTTAGCAGTCAAAGGCCTTAGGCACTGCGCCACCAGAGCTTCTTAGGAAAAGGCAGATAGTATGTCTATAATAAGCAACAGAGCAGGTCATTATCAGCCACTGTTGTTTCTCCAAACTGGAATGGCTGTGAGTGACGCTGGTGACTGTGCTGTATTTTTCACTGTTAATATATTTAAAAATATTTTACAGTTTATAAAACGTGATCTAAGTGTTAAATGGTGGAACTATTGCTAATACACCTCTCCTAAAAATCTGAAGGAGCTCTGGTAGTTTAGTGCCTAAGGCACTTGACTGCTAACCAGAAAGCTGTCGGTTCAAACCCACCAGACACTCTTCGGAAGGAAGGTTGGGCAATCTACTTCCATAGTGATATTGCCTCGGAAACCCAAGGAGGGGTCGCTATGAGTCAAGTTTGACTTGACGGCACATAACAACAATAAAAATCTGAATGTCGGGGAAAAAAGTCTGATATAAAATATTACGAAGGCAACTGCAAGGGTATGTCATACGCTGTTAATTTCCATGACCAAACCAAACTCACTGCCACTGAGTTGATTCTGACTCACAGCGACCCCTTTCAGGTTTCCAAGACAATAAATCTTTATGGAAGTAGACTGCCCCATCTCCTTTCCACGGAACGGCTGGTAGGTTTGAACCATCAACCTTCTCGTTAACCAGTCTGATTACCAATGCCTTAGGCACTACGCCACCAGAGCTCCTCAGTGGTGAGATGAGTATTTGAAAAGCAGCATAAAGTAGGTAAACTTAAGTTGCAAATATTACAGCCTAATTGGGCAAGGATAATTTATCCAACTATTAACTGACGACCTCCCACGTGCCAAACTCTTTTCTGGATCTGGGGGTAGATTAATGACCAAAATAGGTAAAAACCCACCCTGCCTTCATGGGGGGTGACATTCTAGTAGGAATAAAAAAAAAAAAAACACAACGGGAGAAGAGAGGAAAACTAGCAACAGGGATGTAGTAATATGCTCATGGAAATCAGCTTCCTTATTTGACAATCATTCTTAAGAAAAAGTTAGTTTTGAATTACACACAATTTCCAAGAAAACTTTTAACTGCCTTTCATCTCATTTATGCATAAATTGTATTTTATTTAACATCTCATTTGATGCATAAATTGTATTTTATGTAAGCAATTCTTTATTTTTTGGACATTTTATTTCTAGTTTTTTACTACCAATATTTCATCTAGATGATGTTTGCATTTGCAAATCTTATGGCAAAGAGGATTTGATTTAAGGATGTGGACTTTTAATAGACTGTTTTAAAAAAATGGAACTAGCTCTCATAGCACAGTGGTTATGCTTAACGGCTAATCAAAAGGTCAGCAGTTCAAACCCACTCACTAGCCATCTGTGGAGTAAGATGTGCAGCCTGCTTCTGTAAAGATTAACAGCCTTAAAAATCCTATAGGGCAGCTCTATTCTGTCCTAAGGGTTGCTATGAGTCAGAATTGACTGGATGACAATAGGACTAGTTGGGTTTAGCAGTTTAATATAGTCATGATCTTTTTTTCACTAGCAGCTCAGACTGAGCTTCACTCTTCTTTACTTTCTTTGGTCATTTCCTCAGTTTTCCAAGCATAGAATCATATTGTTGTCTTGGATTGTTTACCCCCTGTAAACCCTATTTAAGTTGTTCTCACTATTTAAGTATCTCAACTGTTCCTGAACTATTTTATTTGTTATGCATTGAATTCTGTCCTCTCAAAAATAAGTGGTGGAACTCTTAACAATAGGAAACTAGACACTATTTATTTATGCCCCTTGTTTGGGTTCTGTGCTATAATCATATGCCTTAAAGACTTTCATTTTAGACTTCCTATTTTTGTGTAGGGAGCTCTGGTAGCATAGTGCCTAAGGCACTTGACTGCTAACCAGAAGGCTGGCGGTTCAAACCCACCAGCCACTCCTCGGAAGGAAGGTTGGGCAATCCTACTTCCGTAGTGATACTGCCTTGGAAACCCAAGGAGGGATCGCTATGAGTAGGAGACGACTCGACGGCAAACAACAACAGCAGCAACAATTTTTGTGTAACTGATTTAAAATTTAAATCATGCTGACCAGGTCACTGCCCTTCTCCAATACTTTCACTGGCTCCCTACCGCTTAATGCATCTCATTAAAAAAATCAATGACTCTGTTTCCATGTATACCTCAATTTACATCATCTAGTAACAATCACCTTGCTTATCTCCCTGTTCTTTCACATTCATTTTTATTATTTTACCACCATCTAATAGCTCTGGTAGCATAGTGTCTAAGGCACTTGACTGCTAACCAGAAGGCTGGCGGTTGAAACACACCAGCCACCCCTCGGAAGGAAGATGGGGCAATCTACTTCCGTAGTGACACTGCTTCGGAAACCCAAGGAGGGGTCGCTACGAGTCGGTCCGACTCGACGGCACATAACGACAACAATATCTCTGCATTAAAAAAAAAATGACTGTTTCACAACCACCTTTCAATTCAATGGAAAATTTAAATAAAAACAAGCTAGCAAAATCAGTTGCTGCTGAGTGGATTCCAACTCTATTAAAAGCTCCATATCTGCTACTGGGGTAGAGCCCAATACCCACTTTCGATAGAATAGCTTCTATTCTAAACATTTTTCTGAAGACTGGAATCTGTGGGTAAAAATTTTGCCCTTTAAATTGAATCTGCAAATAATGACAAAAAGCTGGTATGTTGATGAAACAGTGACAACATTATGCGCAGAAACTGAATATCTGAAAACATGTATTTTTTTTAAAAAATATACACAGAATATACACAGCAAAACATACTACTAATTTAATCATTTCTACAAATACATTTCAGTGACACTGATTACATTATTTGAGGTGCAACCACAGTCTCACCCTCTTCTCAGTTGTTCCTCCCTAATTATAATTAACATAAACTCACTGACCTCTAAAGTTCCTATCTAATCTTTTGAGCTGCTGTTGATCCCACATAGGTAGTTCTTAAAAGACCATAATGCTCAAAGTAGACATTTTTACTAGTGAAGCTAAGTCATTATTTGGGTTTAAAAAGCTCTGGCGGTGCAGTGCTTAAATGCTTAAAGCATTTGGCTGCTAACCAAAAGGTCAGAGGTTCATATCCAGTAGGCACACCCTACAGAAGAAAGATGAGGCAGTCTGCACATTGTGTAAAGACTTGTTATTGTTGTTTTTGTTACATGCCATCAAGTTGGCCCTGACTCATAGCAACCCCTCCTTGGGGTTCTGAGGCAGTATCACTACGGAAGTAGATTGCCCAACTTTCCTTCCGAGGAGTGGCTGGTGGGTTTGAACCACCAGCTTTCTGGTTAGCTTTAAGCACTATGCTACTGGAGCCTCGGAAACCCCATGAGGGAGTTCTACTCTCCTACAGGGTTTCTGAGTTGGAATCTACTCTATGGCATTGGAGTTTATTGTTTGGTTTTAACAAAATTTCAGGGGATATTTCTGGTTTAAAGATTATCTCAGGGCAATAGTTTCAGGGGTTCACCCAACCTCCATGGCTCCAGGAAATCTAGAGTCTGAAAACATGCTTTTTGAGGTTTTCTTTTTCCAATTTTTTTTTTTTTTT